AAGAAAACTGTTTTTTATTTTTATTAATTTACCTTTTGAATATTTTAAATAAAATGACATTAAAGACAATAAAGTTGTACTTATTTTTAAGCTTTACACTACAATTTACCACATACACTATGAAAAAAGCATATTTTTTGAAAAACAATTAAATTATTGATTTTTGTCCAAAAACCCTATTTTTGTCCGCACTGTGAGGCACCCCCCATACATATATTGAATACTAAGAGAGGGTAAAACCTTCCCTAAAATATAAAGAGTATGATGATGTACCATCATATAAATTGGCTAAAGAAAATTTTATACCGCAACTAGCCAAAAAAGTGTGTCAGAAAAAGGCTGACGAAAACACTACAAGAAAGGAAAAAATTTGAAAACTAAGAAAATTGAGAAGAAATTAAGAGAAGAAGCTTTCCAAGATATAGATTATTCAAATGGAAGGAAAAAACAGATCAGGAAAAAACCTTGTTTGAAGCACAACAACAAAGTGTTGAAAATGCTAGAGAGGATAAAAGAATAAAGAATTGCAATGGTAATGAAGAACCTGTGTTTTGTAATCCTCTCATAATAGCAAGCCAAGCTGACATCAAGGATGTTTTGGAAGCTATTGATACATGTAAGTATTTTTTTATTTATTTTTAAACATCGAGATATACTAAGCTGTTTTTTCAATTTTTTTTGTAGGTTTAGGTTAAATTTTGTGTAGTCTTCCTCTTTAACTTAATGCTTTTTTGGTTTGTAGTGGTGTTATTTTTTTTCCAATTTATATATGTTTTTACCGAGCTCAAAATAACATGTAAGATAGTAGTGTAAAATAGGGGAGGAGGGGTGGTTTACAAACTGGGTTTCTGAGGGGAGAATCAACAAAATTTTAACCTCTTCCAAGGTTAAATCCTTTTGTTGACTTCATATTTTTTTGTTTTAGTTAAAGGTGAAGTTAATGAAAAACTTTATGGCTTGCAGCTACAGATTGAACGTCTCGAAAATTTAATCCTTAAAGATCAACCATTGAATGAAGAAGGAGAAGAAAATCTGGAGCTGTTCCCATTAAGCACCATTACTGGAGTTAATAAATTTAAAAGAAAATTAACAAATGAAGATTATAGAAAAAAGATGATTATTCATCTTAGAAAAATAGTGGGAAGCGGATTTGCATGTTACAAGTTGGAATCTGTTTTTTTTACAAACACACCCACAGCAATTTTAACAGTGCACCTATCTAATATACAATTAGACTCAATACTTTTTATCTAGATAGGTGAACTGTTAAAATTGCTGTAGGTGTATGGTTTTTCTTTTTTTTCATGTACAGTTGGTTCAAAAAAAATTAGAAGACTTTATGTTGGCAATGCAGTTATTATATATCTAACTCAAAATGTGAACCGAACCTTATTAATTTGATGTTTTAAGTGCTTCGTTGCCACACATCTGATGTGCTTTGAAATTCATGTAAATTTTCGGTCTGGCGTGTTTCGGTTCTACGTGCTGATCCTTTATTTCAAAGGTATTATTTTCCAGTGCAATTTAGTATTACCATTTTTAACTTAATATTTCTTATCCGATTAAAAAGTGAAACGGCGTGCCTTCCACTTTTATATTTTTCCGTTTGCTGTGTACCTAATTATTGTAACAATGTTACAATAATTTCTGAAAATTTGATAATTTTGTCAACCCTGTTCGATAATTTCACTTTTTACATCTAGCAACACTGCTGACAATGATTTTTTATATCCTTTTTAAACGGGTTTTTTACAAAAATTATTAACCGAAGTTCAGTTACTAAACCGATTTACTTTGCAATAAATAAAAGTGCATATATTCAAATTATAATAAGTTATTGGAAGCTAAAAAAATATGCTATCCTACAGGCATCACAACTAATGAAATAACAGCAAAAGTGCCATTACAAGAGCTAGTAGACCATAACATTGCTAGATTAATCAATGCCCAGGCTGAAGTCATGGACCATATTCATTTGAACCATACAATTTCTTCTATTGAGGCATTGTTCAAGTGGGGATGTGATGGAGCAACTGGGCAAAGTCGCTACAAACAATCTTTTACAAATGAAGACAGAGATGATTAATTTTTATTTTCAATTTCAATGGTACCTTTGAAGATTTTAGTTAAAAATGACCAAAATCAAGAAATTATTGTTTTTCAAAATCCTACAACTTCTTCGACGAATTACTGTAGACCTATAGAAATTGTTTTCAAGCAAGAAAAAGAGGAATTTGTCAAAAATGAAATTCTGAAGATAAAAAATCAAATCTCTTTACTTCAACCCTGTTGAAATTGGAGTAAATTTGTACAATTGCACATCTTTTTTATATCTAATGATGATTGATGGCAAAATTTGTAGTTGGCTAAATCATCTTCACAAAACTGCCATATCTGTTATGCAACACCCAGCATGATGAACAACATCGAAGAAGTTAAAATACGTCAAATATTAGTGGAGAACGTTGAACTTGGCATATCCAGCTTTCACGCATGGATTAAGTGTTTTGAATGCCTTCTTCACATTTTCTATAAAATGGATATTAAGAAATGGTCTATTTGAAAAGCAGATAAGGAAGCTTTTAGTAAAAGGAAGAAGTTGATCCAAGAGAGATTTCGCCGTGAAATGGGTCTGTTGGTCGATATTTCAAAACCTGGATTCGGAACGACCAACGATGGAAATACGGCAAGATGTTTCTTCCAAAACCCTATAATTTCTGCCGCAATAACAGAAATTGATAAGGATCTAATAAAAAGATTTCACGTGGTCCTAACGATAGCCTGCGGACACGAGATCGCCGTCGACAGATTTCAGCAGTACTGTCTGGATACCGCTGAATTTTATGTATCACTATATCCGTGGTATTACATGCCACGACGTGTCCACAAGATACTAATTCATGGAGGAATCCTGGTGAACACATCAGTACTCCCTATTGGGCAAATGTTGGAAGAGGCCCAAGAAGCGCGCAATAAAGATTCAAAGAACATCAGAGAATATCATTCAAGAAAATTTACCAGAGAGCAAACCATGGAGGACATGATCAACATGCTCTTGATCCCTTCTGATCCATTTATTACAAGTTTAAGAAAACCAAGTAAAAGAAAGCGTAACAATTTACCAGAAGATGTAATTAAAATGCTCAAAACACCACCATCAATATATTCTCAGACCAACCAGGAGTCTAGTGATAATAGTGAATAACTTTATAAATTATTATTAATATAACTATAGATAAGACTTAAATATTATTTTATTTGTTTATGTTACATAACAAACTACGCATAGTAATATATTATTATTATAGTATATAATATTGTAAATTAAGTAAAAAAGTGATAATCCAAAGGAGAAAAAATATGCAGTTTTTACGATTAAAAAATTCAAACTAGATTTTATATTAAAAATTGTAATAATTATTCTTGACATTTTATAAAAGTTACATAATTTGTTAGATTTTTTACTAAATTTATCCGTAAAACCGTATTTAATATTTCTAGTGTAAAGCTTTTGCTTTTTAATTTATTTAGGGGTAAAATATGACTTTAATGTGACACCCTGTATAATAAAAGAATGCCTTTGGAGGATTTGGTATTCCTATACCATATTATACCGTGTTAGTGTAGCATGAACTTACAAACATTACTAAAATATTTTTTCCGCCCCAGATTGCCCAAACTGACCACTGTGCGACGCAGGGTGCTTTGCGCAAGCTTATGTTCTGCGTCGAAGAAAATCGGAATTGAATTAGGAAATTTCGAGCCCAATTAATTTCGGAAATAGGTAGTTTTGTGCATGTTTGCCATTGTTTGTTGTATTTCATGTTTTTTATATATCTATTAGGTATATTTAAAATTCGCATATTATTGTTTATATAAGTGGTTTTGTGGTAAAATCCTTAGCTAAAGAATTAAAATGTGAACCTTATGTAAATAGTTTGTTTTCTAAAGAGAAAAGAGTGTTGGCTGAGTTAATTTTTTTAAAAGACCGAGGTGGATTGGCCTATCCCTCTGAAGACGTGGTAAAAATTTGCCGAGAAACCGAAAAACTAATAAGGCTTCATTCAAAAAATGAAATTCGGAATCAGAACAGATGTTCAAGATTAAATAAAATTAAAATAATTTCTCATGTTTTAAAAATATTTTTAGATTTAAATATATTTAATGACCTAAAAACCCATCAGCTTGATAATTTCCCAAATAACTTTAACCACTTAGTGGAGCTGATAAGAGCTTTTTGCCAAAAATATTTTAATATCAGGGTAAAATATGATTCAAACATTTTTTACAATTTCGTAATGACTAAGCGCCAACTTGTAAATAAAGCCATTTTGTTTAAAGGACAATAATAATAATATATAAAATTATTTAAATATGTATTAAATAAAAATTTTAATTTATTATTATTTGGTTTTATTTATTTAAAATAGACATAGACATTTAATAAAGGTAATATATTTTTGTATTTATTAAAAAATTTATGAACAAAAAAAATTGTTTATTTAAAATGTTAAATATATCGTTTGATATTTTAACAAATTATTATTGTGTAAATTATTTATTACAATAATAATTAATATTAATAATGTATAAATATCACTTATACAGTGTGTATTAAAACGAATAGATACACTTAAATAAAACAAGTGCCAAACCCCGCCCACTGTGGTAGGGATTGAATTTGTTTGCTTGCCGTATCATTGTCGTATGATCTAGTGATGTAAATATCCGTATCTTTTTGATATTCGGATAATACGTATTCGGAACCAAGAGATATTCGGATTCATTGTCCGGATACGTATCCATGATCTATACGTCAAATCTTAAATGCGCAACGCTGCAAGCGGGTGGCACGGCGTAAGGAATGCAGAGAGGAGTAGGGAGCATATGTATGTTCTGTGGTGGGGAGTGAACCAGACGGCTTAGGTTTGTTTTGTCTTCTCTTTTTGTTTGTGCAGTGGGCGTCTAAGTCAGTAGCGTAACGTTTCGATATTTATATTATGGCTCCCGCACAAAAATCAATTGTTTGGTCTTTCTTCGAAATATCGCCGGATAAACTTTTTGCTACATGTAAACTATGTAGCCAAAAATTAAAATACTTTACTAGTACGGGAAATTTAAAATTGCATATTACTAGAAAACATCCAATTCAGTACAGTGAACATCTAAGAAAAGAAAATCCATCGGAAACCCCTGATCAGGAAACATTAACTGAAGGTACACCTGACAGTCAAACAATTAAATCAAATGATCATTCAGTTGCAAATGAAGCTGAAATATTACCAGTTGCTAGCACCTCATCAACTTGTGATAATATGTCTCTCCGATTGACGACTTCTGTAAAACGAGTCTCTACCTCTTCTTCAAACCAAATTACAAAGCAAAGGCGGCAACTAAAACTATTTGGTGGAAAAAATTCAAATGAATTGTCAGAAGAACAGAAAACGAAATGCGATTTAAGTCTTTTAAAGTTAATCGCAAAAGATTTCCAACCCCTGTCTATTGTAGAAAATTCTGGCTTTTTGGAATATAGCAAAACATTAAATCCCCTTTATAAAGTTCCTAGTCGAAATATATTAACAAACAATCTTCTATCGACAAAGTATTTAGAAGAAGTTACAAAATTAAAATCTAAACTACAAGAAGTTAAATACGTTTCGCTAACTACAGATATTTGGCAGTCAGATAGCAATATATCATATCTGTCACTAACTTGCCATTTTGTACATGATATGACATTACATTCACGAGTACTAAGTGTAAATGAAATGTCTTCTATTCACCATACAGGACAAAATATTGCTGCTGATATATCCGCCATTTTGACAGAATGGGATCTTGATGCCAAAATTGTTACGATTGTTTCAGACAACGGCGCCAATGTAAAAAATGCCATAACAGTACATTTACGCAAATACCATCATCCATGTGTGGCACATACATTGAATCTTATATCCAAAGAGGCTCTAAACGAAAATCCAGAACTAAAAAAATTAATAACGAAATGCAAAAACTTAGTCGCATATTTTAAGCATAGTGCCATTGCTACCGGAAAATTAAAAAAATGCCAAGAAGACATGGGAGAGCCTATCCTTAAAGTTAAACAGGCAGTTGAAACAAGATGGAATTCAATCCTTATAATGTTGGAACGGCTTTTATTAATAAAGAATCCTTTATCCGTCGCAATTGCTAATTTACCGACAGCTCCAGATTTTATAGACGCGGCGGAATGGAATATTATATCAGAATATGTGCCTCTATTAAAACCACTGGAATTAATGACAACTGAGCTTTCAGGAGAAAAATATGTTACAATGTCAACAGTCATACCATTAACAAGAGGACTGCAACTTAGTATAAGGAATTTGAAACCCAATACAGAAATGGGTCTATGGTTGCAATCCAAGTTATTGGAAACCATTTCAAAGCGATTAGGCATTTTGGAGTCCAATAAAATTTGGCCAAAAGCACATTTCTTGACCCACGCTTTAAGAAAACTGCCTTTGGTCTGGAAGAAAATGCTAAAAATGCACAAATGTGGATATTGGACGAGATTCCTACAAAACTTTGCATTTCAAATGCTGAAACAGAAACAGAAACTAACTCAGAAGAGAGTTTTGAGAATTCGGGACCATCAGAGAATTGCGACCTCACAAGTAATCCAATGACTTTTTGGAAAACACATAAGCTTATGATGCCCGAACTATGTGATTTGTATGAAAAGTATGCTTCTGTACCTGCCACGTCAGTGCCAAGGGAAAGACTTTTTTTCTAAAGCTGGACAATTAGCAAATCTCAGGCGAAATAGACTCTCTCCAAAGAATTTGCAAAAAATTTTATTTTTAAATAGTTGTTTATAATATTTTTGTTATTGAAGTTTGTTTTTTTTAAGTTGTGTTTTGTACTTTTTAACAAAACCTAAGAGTTTAAGTTTAAGTTGATTTTTTTTATTACTATGATAAACCATGGTAGCAGTTAACCAAAGAATGTTATACTTGTTTTATTTTTTATATTTTAAAGTTATGCCTTGATTGTCTCGTTATTTTAAATAAATAAAAACAATATTTTTATACATCAGGTCTTTATTTTTTAAATAAGCATCGTACGCCTATGGTCTCATAAGTAGAGGACTCCGAACACGCCCTTTTCCCGCGATTCCGAATGCGCCGGTTGCCAACCATCCGTAATCGGCTACCTCATGGCGCATTTGCTTCGCGCATTAGAAATTTGTTTCCGTAAATTTCGATTCCGAATCCGTATTCGAATTTACAGATTGATTCCGGAATATACGGATCCTTTTAATATTCGGATTCAACGGATATTTGGATACGTATTCTTACATCACTAGTATGATCTGTGCGTCAGTTTAAGAAGTGCACTGAGACTTTGCGTACGTCTTTGTTAGAATAAAAAAGTATTTTCTCAAATAAAATGGTTTTTACCTGTGAGGAAAAATACCAAATAATGGTATGGCATCACACTGGTAGATCATATCGCCAAATACAAACTTTATTTCAAAATATGTTTCAAAATAGGCATTTACCCAGTGTAGCTACAATCCAGAGGATAATGTACAATATTCGAACGCATGGGTGCCTTTCGCCGCAGAGGCATAAGACACAACGGCAGCCAAGGCGGAATGACGATAGAGAAGCAAGGGACATTTTGATTTGTGCAAGTGTAGAGCAAGACCCTACACAATCTACCAGAACACTTGCTGCTCAGTTTAATATTTCCAAGAATACGGTTTCCAAGATTTTACGCAAGCATGGGTATCATTCCTATAAATTGAAGAGGGGTAACGAGCAACACCTGGGCGATTCAGATCGCCGCATGGAATTTTGCAAATATGTAATGAACAAGGCGAACGAGGATGATAATTTCATCCCAAACATCCTTTTTACGGATGAGTCGAGTTTTTCATTACATGGTCGTCATAATTACCAAAACATCCGCTGGTGGGCAAGAGGGGGAAATCCCCACAAGGTGTATGCTGCCCGAACACAGCGCCCCCTGAAATTAAATGTTTGGACTGGAATTCTTGGAGACCATATCATTGGGCCATTTATTATTGATGGTAATCTTAATGGGCAAAAGTATCTAGAGCTACTGCAAAATCAAATTGTTCCGCCGACGGTGGTCTAGTGGTCTAGTGCATGCTGACTACAAGCCGGAGGTCGTGGGTTCGAATCCCACCAGGGGTATGGCTGTTTATTTGTGTTTGTCCTATTGTGTATTAGTCCTTCGGAGGGGACTTTAAGCCCGCGGTCCGTTCCTACCCCTAACCCGCACAAGCCATTCAGTTGGCTTATGGGACTTCTTAAGAAGTAAGGGTGGAACTAAAAGAGCACTTTTGTAAACTTTTGTAAACTTCAAAATTTGCCAATTCCGTTTGAAACCATATGGTTTCAGCAAGACGGGTGTCCTGCACATGATACTTTGGTTGTCAGAGAGGATTTAAATGACAACTTTCCAAATCACGTGATAGGTCGTCATGGAGATATTCTTTGGCCTCCAAGATCACCGGATTTGACTCCGTGTGATTTTTTCTTGTGGGGATACGTCAAGTCGAAAATTTATGGATTTCAAGAGGTCAGGGCTAATAATCTCGATGAATTAAGGGTGCAAATCTTTAATACATTGGGAGATATTAGTCCTGAAATGCTGTTTAACGTGCGCAGGAATTTTTATGATAGGCTAGGGTATTGTTTAACTGCTGCTGGTGGTCTATTTGAACATTTAATTTAGAAAAAAAGTTATTTTCGTTATTTTAGAGATATTTTTGTTTGAGAATTTATAGGTTTTATTTTTATCGAATTCGTTTGTTTTGTTTTAATGCATTTCTGCAAATAAAAACTAAGTATTGTTTAAAATCCATTACATTTCAGTTAATGGCGAAAATGTATTTCTTAAAAACTATACACATTTCCCTACGACAGCGTCGGAGCTACTGAACAAACACAGTAGATCAAACTGCATGCCCTTGTATCTGGCTGCATGCCGCGCTGTTGCCATATGCTATTATTGTTTCCTAAACGGGTTGTTTTTCTTATTTTTTGATATTAAAAGTAAGAAAATTAACTAAATAAAATTATTTTTGACATATTATTAATTTTATTGTTATTTTTAAAGTTTCAAACAAATAAAATTGAACTATTTATTAAATAATTATAATCGTTCTCTTCTGATTTAAAACAACCTGGCAACTATGGTTCGTAATTACGAATGGCTTGGTTTAAACCACGCCCAATTAAAATTTGTTTCTTTTTCTCTGACCAGAATATAATTTGTCATCCTTGTCTCCAGCCTTACTTACTTGATTCTATACAGTCTGTATAATATAAAAATAGTATAAATAAAACTCTTCTACGAGACATAAATGGTAAATAATTTAATAAACTAAAGACAACTTTGGCGAAAACATAGCCACGCCTTTCGCATACCTTTCCCAACACTCCGCGAAAGCGGCATCACTTGATTCAACGATCCGGAATAGGCATTGTTCAGTCTATGTGGTCTGTGGTGGTAGTACTTTTTAATTAGTGGAAAAAGTTTACAAAATCCAATCTTTTGCCACCAATTATAATTGGAAAGCGCTTTTGCGCATGTGCGTGGACATTTTATATCAAATGTAAAAGTTTGAAGATTTGTCAGTGAAGGTAAAGTTATAAATATTATTTTAATGGTTGTAAAAATTCATTTTAATATATTGTGCAAAATTAAATGTTTCAAACCAAATTGGATCAAAATTTATATAGCTTTATAGGTTTTTTATCTATTAATTGCTATTGGTTGTTAGTTTAGTCCCAATGAAATTTTTAAAATTTGTTTTTCCCGCGCTCAGAAAAGAGTAATGGCACTTGTTTTCATAATTTCTAGTGAATATCTCACATGTATAATTCTAATAAAGGTATTATTTTCCAGTGCGATTTATTTTTTAAAGATTTAATATTTAACTTAATATTTCTTAACCGATTAAAAAGTGAAACGGAGCGCCGCGGCGTGCCATTCACTTCTATATTTTTCCGTTTGCTGTGTAATTATTGTAACAATGTTACAAATTCGATAATTTTGTCAACCCTGTTCGAAAATTTCACTTTTTACACCTGGCAACACTGCTGCCAAAGGTTTTTTTATATCCTTTTTATACGGGTTTTTTACAAAAATATTTTACTTTGCAACAAATAAAAGTCGCAAATATCGCAAGTGTAATACAATTAAATACTATGGACGTTCTAGGTTTTCATAAAAACGCCTTTTTTAAAGAACAAAAAACAAAAAAATACATGTTAAACAATTTGAATAACAACAGAAAAGAAAGCAGGCATAATGGTATAGATAAATATAGAAAAATCGAAAAAAATAAAATGATCGAACAAAGTCAAAGCTCCAAAGGTAGCTTTGAAATGCTGGAAACTAAAAAAAAAAGTTTTATGTTTTACTGAAAATTTTACAGTTTGGCAATAAGTGTTAGATTTAACTTGATGAAAAATTCAATTTGCTGATTCATTTTAGGAGAAATCAAATGCTAAGCCCATATTCAAATAAAAGGGAAACCCATGAAAAAAACAAAAAAATCTGGATTCGCGCCAGAAAATTTTTAGTTTAGAGCCCCCAAAAATGTGGAACCAGGGCGGGCTCCAGGGTACGTGCAGCCGTGCCCCTGCACGGGGCGGCAAAAATCGAAAGGCGGCAAAAAGTTATTCAATACAACACGATGTAGGTTCTAAATTAGATATTTCCAATTTAATTTCAACGTTTGCTGAACAAAAAGCCAGAAGGCATTTCTTTTGTTTGTAAACAGATTTTTCTTATTTTTACTACTAGTCAGTTTAAAAATGTTGGATAAAATAATTATTATTAGAATATATTACTGTTTTTTTAGAATGCGATAATACTTTATTTATTTGTTATTAAATATTATTTTTTTTTAACTTTTTTGTTAATTTTATCTTCCCCTTAATTCAACAACTGGATAACTCAAAATTTTACGAATCCAGTTCTACTAAATACTTACATACCAATTTTAAACTTTTTACAGTGGTGCAGTATCCGGGGAGCTGCATCTGAGAAGGGGCGATCGGCCCCACTCGGCTTCACTCGAGTGTATATGTTTCATGCACTAGCTATGAGAGAAAGAGATAAAGAAAATGTGTGCTCGCACCTCTCTCTCTATTGCCCCTACAGTAATATACGAAACGTAACTCTCTCTTTCTATGTTTACTAACTTATATCTCCCTCTCAACTTCCGTTTGCCTCGCCCGATCACACTTTTCGTAACCCTCTCTTCACGCATTAAAATAAATCAATTCTATTAAAACAAAACAAAAAATCAAAATTCTTAAAATAAATGTAAATAAAAAATAAATAAATTATTTAATTAATAAAAATAATAAATTCTTAAACACAAGCTTTGAATAATTTATTCAAAGCTTATTTTCATTTACACCCCAAAATACAACCAATTGTTTTAAACCTTTGGATAACGTTTGTTATTGTTCTAATTTAAGGAATAGAACCGAATATTTAACTGAGAATAGGTATCTTGCCCCTACAGTAATATACGAAACGAAACTCTCTCTTTCTATCTTTACTAACTTATATCTCCCTCTCAACTTTCGTTCGCCTCGCCCGATCACACTTTTCGTAACGCTCAACTTCCGTTTAC